TCTCATCGGAGATGAAGTGGTAGCCACCATGACCCCGGCTCAGCGTCAAGATTTCGGCATCGCTCTTCATGAGATCACGCAGCGAGTGGTAAAATTCTTCTCCCACGACGGGCCGTCCTTTCTTGTCCAACTTCATGTGTACAACCTTGGGCACAATCTCCGTCAAGCGCGACAGCGACCCCTCGTGAAGTTTGCTGGCCGTCGTCAACTTGGTGATTTCGTATTCGTGGTTGCGTTGCTGGCGGACGTATTCTCTAGCGTCATTATCGCCGAAGAGCGTTGCCGGCCGCGACATCCAGAGTGGCACAAATTGTCCAAGATTGTGTGAAAAGTCGGACAGACCGTACCATTGGATGCCGCCTAGCCCAAGAGCCGGCGTCGAGTTCAGTCCTGTTAAGGCGCCCCACGTTAAGAGTGAAAGAAGCAGAGCGCCGAGCGAAGCCTTGAAGATCCATGAGTTCAGGGAAAAGACAAGGTTGAGCAAGTCCACAAACGAATCGGCGATCTTGAACAAGATCCAATTTGCCCACGAGAACTCGCTCAAGGGGACCTGTCGCGAAGTCGTGATTGAATTCATGTGACCGTCCGAGTCGGATTCAAAACCGTCGTCTGTCTCAGGGCTATCCGGTCGAGGGACATTGGACCATTCGTACACTGTGTTGTAGACCCGCGGCCATGCCTGCAATCGTGCATTGCGCTCCTTTCGAAGGGCTTCTTGTTTAACTCTTTCCTGCCGATGCTCTTGTTGTATCCTTGCTCGCATTTCAGGAGTGAACATACCGGCCCCGCCTTGGGCAAGTGCCGGCCGACCGTCTCTGTTGCCAGAAAGACCACTTGTACTGGAGACCCTTGTTGAAGCGGCTCCGCCCGCTGTGGACGGTGGTGCTTCTACTCTGATGGCTGGCGGAGCGTTGGTAGAGGAGCGAGACGATGCTGAGTTACCATTTACGGGTAGAGGTTTACCAAACAGGGGGCGAGGAGGTGCTGGGTTCTGTTCTCCAGCCAGGGGCCCTCTCCGAGCAGGACTGAAGTTGGTGGCCTGCATTGGCTTGCGAGGTGAAGAGTGACGGGCTGAGACTTGAGGAGATTGATTATTAAGTATTGGCTCTTCGCTGACACGACTTGATAGACGTGTCGAGCTCGACCTTGCAGCAGGAGAAGGTGACACCGAAGCTTTGTTAGCTGCGAGCTGACGCGAGCTTGCTACTGACCCTGGTGGGTCTCTCTTAGCAGGAGACTGGTTGACAGGACGAGCAGGCGAAACCTGGTAAGGAGATTTACTGCTGCGCGGTCGAAATCGATCTGAGGGCGGTGTGCTTGGTGGCTCCTGTTGAGGTGGACGGAAGGTACCTTGGGAGGGCAGCAAAGGCAGCAGCTCGGGAGGAGGCCTATCAGAAACCTTGGTGATCGGGGCTTGTATCACACCTTGGTGAGTGACCGCCTGGTTCAAATTTCGGTTGAGATTGTGCCGGGGATCGCGTGCCAAACGCCTCAATGGACTGAGGAGATTTATGCCCCTCGTCTCTTCCTTCGGTGGAGAGGGCTCCTCGGTCTCCTCTATGGACCGCATGCGACCACCACGCTCTGAAGAAATTGACTGCGACGGGGTCGAACCAATATCGGCACCCCCAAAGAGTGAGCTTTCCTGGCCAAAGGTGCGGACTGAGTCTGGCGTCGGAGTCGGCTCCGGAGGGCCTTGTTGTTGAGCGAATTGAGAGCGAGACTGGGAATAAGGCTCTTCGGATATGGCTCGAGCGAAGACGGAATTCCAGCTTGCAGCAGGAAGGGATCGTCTAGCAGGTGTTAAACCTTGAGCAGGGTCTTCCGAGCTGGCTCTCCTGGCCATGGACTGTGAATAAGTTGAGAACTGCCCTCTCGGCGGTGCAGCTCCTGGCAAGAATTGCTGTGGTGGAACGAGAGCGCCTTGCTGGAATGAAGGAGGTTCGACAGAGGGAGCTGAGACGATGTTTAGCAAGGGAAGTGAGACCGCGGCAATGCAAGACCCGGTGTCGCGCACGTGGTAGCACTTACCAATTTTGGCTGGCGATTGTCGTCGCGGTGAGCGGCGGACGGGGGTCGGGTCTGGCGTTGCATCCCTTAATGGATCAGGGGATTCTGACGACTCTCGATAGGGACCGAAGTCTTGGTCGAAGTCCGGGTCAGGGTCAGGGCCTCGATCAGGACTTGGTTGCACTCTGCGCGGTGGATTCGGCTTTGGCGCCGGTTTGGGAGTTGGCGACTTTGTTTGCCTTGTGTGTCGCGAAGGATGCGGTTGCGGCTGTTTGCTGTTGCTGCTCTCACTACTGCTCGCACTGGCATCGCCATCATCGCTGTTGTTGCCATCGTCCGGGTCGTCCGGGTCATCAGGATCGTCGCTGTCGTGAAGAGTTTCCTTGATAATGTCTTGCAGATTGCGCTTTTGACCGCGGCGAGTGTTTCGCAAAATCGTGGAAGGCGCAGATCCGTAAGATGTGTCGAGTCGTGATGCCAACGGAGGCAGCTCTCGACTGACGGCAGCACCCCCGGCCAGGGTGGTCGGTGTCTCACCGTTATCGTCACGGACCCTTCGTTTGGGGGGCATCTTGGTGCAGTGTGACGGGCGAAAGTCTGCGAAGGTGATGAGTATGAGGTGAAATGGCGGGTTGTGTATCAGAATGTGGTCACTCAACACCACGTAATAGTGAGATGAGACAGATCGTGTTGAGTTGGTGAAGATGAGGAGAGATACGGTGTATGAGGAGGAATAGAATGAAAAGGCCAAGAGAGTAGTGAAAAATGTCGAAGTAGGAAGTGACGATATGGCCAAATTCACAGACGGCAAGCGCGAGAAGAAAGTCCGTTGAAGGAAAGAAGCAACGGGAGGAGTAGACTGAATGAAAGATTGCAAAGACGCAACTCACATTATTATTGTTTGGGTAAACATGCACTGCAGTTGTCAACGAGTCTCTGAAAAGCAGTTTGTCGTAAGTCGAGGTCTCTTTTGTCTCATCAACAATGGCAGGCGCAATGAAGCATGAGATCTATGTTGAGCTACAAGGGAGGCGGCAACCAAAGGAAAGCCTCGAGAAGAATTGGAGAGAGGTTGGAGGTCGTATGTGAATGAGCCTTTGTGAAGGCTGCAGGGAGACGGTTACGGGAGCTTGGACTGGGAGAAGAATCCCAAAGTGAAGCTATTCCAGAGGGACAGGCCCGCCGGATCGGGAAGGGAGGGAGGCGGGTTGTCAACAAAGAGAGGAGGAGCGGTCCCTGGTCGCAACGACCATCTTTCCCAGGCACAAGTCGCGCCAAACCACGCGCGCGTCGGATCGTCGGTGTGGAGGACCAGATAGACGAGCTGGAAGGAATGCGGCTGCCGTTGCGGTTTGAGCGGGTCAATGAGTTGTCGGTCGAGTAGAATGAGTTTTGCGACAGCGGCGATGCAAGGCAAGGGATGTCCCGAGGGTTCGTTGAGTTTCTTTGTGCTGTCTTGGAGCGTTCACTTGAGGAGCTTCACACACACACGCACACACACACACACCGGGCATGGGAATGTTTTCGCGACGGACAGCCGCCCACCGCCAACCGCCAGCCAGCAACCGGGGGTCGGGCGCAGAGAAAGCTCAGACCCTTGCAGCGTGTCCGTTGCCCGCGCACGCGCTGTGGTCCTCAGGACGGTCCCCGCCACGGTGGTCCGCCAGTGCTACGCGCGCCGAGTTGATAACCTTACATAAGCGAGAACCTTGCTGGCCTTAGGTAAGCAATCGAAGTTTGCGACCGCGTGAGGATGTGATAAGGCAAGCACCGATATCGATAAGTCTGATAAGATTGTTTACCAGATAAGGCTTTCAACCTGAGGCTGCAAAAGCTCATTAATCCAGACCACGCAGTACGTCACCGATTGCTCCACGCCCTTCCCACAACCTTGAGTACTCCACCCCGAATTGCTGGTTCATCCTGGAGAGATCCATCGAAGTGCGATTGTCGACACGTGCTTTTTCCACCTCACTCTGCGCCCTGCCATTGGAATATCGCGCAAAAGTTCGAGGTTATGCAGGGCACTCAGAGTCTTAGACCCAGTTCAAGACATGAGCCAGCTAGCACAGCAGACATGCCATGACTAACCTCGAGCCATGGTATTCGTATCGTCTGCGCTAAACCAATGAGCCTAGGCCCAGACTTGACTTTGATTCCGCTGCCGTCTACAAACACGGGAACCCGCCGGACCCTCACCTTCGTCCTTTCGGGTGAACAACCGGACAGAATGGAAAACCTGCAGTGCCAGATTGGATCCCGCAAATGTGCAGATGAGGAACTCAGGCTGTAAAGCACCTACTCGGCGAGGCTAGGCCGGTCAAGTTGCCAACCACCCAGCCGCTCCAACAAACAGCAAAGAGACATCCGGGAAGGGTTAAATAACACGGATACGGGGAACATGCGCCGGGGAGACACCCCACCAGATCATCCACCTCTTGATCCGTCATCCGATCTGTCTCTTGACTCTCGTGTCAGCTTGTCAGGCACAGTCTACCTGAACATATACACCGAGTCCGTCTTGGAAGAGAAGAACCACAGACCGGCGATAGCGTGACAGTCATGGAAACGCAGTCAACATGATCAATCATCAGGGACCTTGTCGGCCCGTCCACCGTCCATGAAGATCAGTCTCCACGGCACCGCGATCCCCGGTCATTGCAAGTTTCAGCGTGCCAACAATTGCGCCGCTTGAACATCGAGGAAGAAATTACTAGGCTCCGCAGCCAGCCACAACGATTGAGATTGGTGCCACCCCCGCCTGCAAGACCCCGCCATCGCCTCCAATTTGGCGCGCCAGATTGGCCGTTGCAAATGGAACATTGGATGGCCCCAAATGGCCCCAAATGCACTCACTGCTTTGGTCTCACTGGTGGGCGTCCATGGGCGTCCATGGGCGTGAGCGTGGGCGTGGGCGTGGGCGTGGGCGTTGGCGTGGACGGTGGCACTCAAGGCCGAGCCAATTTCTCTCCCACATCATCACTCAGCCTGGACGTTACAGACAGACGACCCCGTTTACTTTTTCTGTTATTGCGACCGTCGCCTCATTATTCCCACCCCTCACATCAACCACCAGATATATCTCTCGCCTCCTCCCGTAATCCTTTACAACTCTCCTCTTTCGTCATTCCTCCAACTCAAAACACACGACAGACTTGCGCTCTCCTTCATACCCTAACGACTTGATACCCCGACGGACCGCGCATCTCTCACTACTCTCCTTCACTCTGCTCTACCCCCTCCACCTCCAAATTACCCCTCACCGCATCTAGTTGCGATCGACGCCCGCAAATTTCTTCACGATGGCCATTGGAACTGTCTTGGTTACCGGGTAAGCTACCTCTTCCTACCACCTGACTGACAAGTCCATTGCAATCCGATTGCTCTTGGCACCGTTGACACCCGCTGCCGTGGCGCTGTTCGTTGGCGCAAGTCCGAGTACGGAACAAAGGCTAACCGCGCGATTTGGTGGCTTGCAGTGGTACCGGCTACATTGGCTCCTTCACCTCCCTCACCCTTCTCCAGAACGGCTACGATGTGGTCATTGTCGACAGCTTGTACAACTCCTCCAAGGTTGCCGTCGACCGCATTGAGCTGCTGAGCGGCAAGCGACCCCACTTCTACCAGGTCGATGTCACCGACAAGGCCGGCCTCGATGAGGTCTTCAAGAAGCACCCCGAGATTGACAGTGTTATCCACTTCGCCGCGCTCAAGGTCAGCTCTTTTCCTCCTTTGCGACGTATTCCACCAGAATAACTAACATGATCGATTCCAGGCTGTCGGCGAGTCTGGCGAGATTCCTCTCGAGTACTACCGCGTCAACGTTGCCGGCACCGTCTCCCTCCTCCAGGCCATGACGGATAACGATGTGCCCAACATCGTCTTCTCTTCCTCGGCGACCGTCTACGGTGATGCCACCCGTTTCGAGAACATGATTCCCATCCCCGAGCGCTGCCCGATTGGCCCCACCAACACCTACGGCCACACCAAGGCCTTTGTCGAACAGGTCATCACCGATCACATCAACGCCGAGCGCAACAAGCTGAAGAAGGCCGGCAAGTCCTACGAGCAGTTCAACGGTGCTCTTCTGAGATACTTCAACCCCTGCGGTGCCCACCCCTCTGGCCTCATGGGCGAGGACCCCCAGGGCGTCCCCTACAACCTGCTGCCTCTGCTCGGCAAGGTCGCTACCGGTGACCGCGACAAGCTCCTCGTCTTCGGCGACGGTATGTACACACGATGACATGATGCAGAGGCCTCGCTGACCATAAGTAGACTACTCTTCAAGAGACGGTACCGCCATTCGCGACTACATTCACGTTGTCGACTTGGCTAAGGGTCACCTGAGCGCCCTCAACTACCTCCGCGAGAACAAGCCCGGTGTCAAGGTCTGGAATCTCGGTTCCGGCCGTGGCAGCACCGTCTTCGAGATGATCAAGGCCTTCAGCCACGTCGTCGGCCGCGATCTGCCCTACGATGTTGTCCCCAGGCGCCAGGGCGACGTCCTCGACCTGACTGCCAACCCGTCTCTGGCCAACAAGGAGCTCAACTGGAAGACTGAGGAGACGCTGGAGAAGGCTTGCGAGGACCTCTGGCGCTGGGTCAGCAACAACCCCAAGGGTTACCGCCAGGATCCCCCCCCTGAGCTCCTTGCCAACGCCAAGCCCACGAGCGGTTAAGCAAGGGAGGACGAAATGTATCGGAGCATCAGCCACATCTTGTAAAGAAAAAGAAAAAAGTTTGGTTGCTTATCATAGATGATAGAATTAGTGCTATTCGCAGCGAGAGAGCCATGATACGACGTCCGCCATAGAGAGGATTTAATTAAAAAAAAAAAGTTCAAGATAACATTCCCTTGCAGCGACCCTAGTTGGCCCGCTTTCGATATTGTCACAGAGGTGCCCTCAGTCAATCGAGCTTGAGGATGAGCTTGCCCGTCGTGTTGCGGCTTTCAAGGTCCTCGTGAGCCTGCTTGACGTCCTTGAGCGGGTACGCCTTGTGGATGGCTACCTCCACCTTGCCCGAGGTGATCATGTCAAACAGCTCCGTGCTGTACTTTTCCAGCTCCTCCCTGGTCGCGGTGTAGCCGTTGACAATGGGTCGCATAACCTTCAAGTTCTTGGGACCCAGCTTGAGGATGTCAAAGGGAGGAACAGCTCCGGACTGGCAACTATGTTAGCGCTTGACGGCAAGTTTGAAGACATCGTTTGCGTCTCAGGGTAGAACTTACCGCGTTGCCAAAAACAACCAATCTCCCCTTCCGCGCCGCCATCTCAATATCACTATCAAACGTAGCCTTACCAACACCATCGAATATGACATCAACGCCATGCCCGCCCGTAATCTTCTTCACCTCCTCCACGAGATCCTGCGAGCGCGAGTTGACAATATACTCTGCGCCATTCTTCTTCGCCAGAGCACACTTCTCATCGCTGCTCGTCGTACCAATCACCTTTGCCCCCACAGCCCGCAGCATCTGCACAAGCTGCAATCCAACACCGCCAGCAGCAGCGTGAACAAGAACCCAATCCCCCTTCTGCACCTCGCCCGCCTCGCGGATAAAAGTCCACGCCGTAAGTCCCTGCAACAGCGCAGCAGCAGCCTTATCCGTAGGAAGCGCGTCCGGGATGTGCAGGAGCTGTGCGGCGTTGACGGCCGAGTAGCCCGAGTACGACCCAAAGGGGCCCATGTAGACCACCCGATCGCCCTCCTTGAAGCCGGAGACGGAAGGGTGGGATTCGACGACCGTGCCGGCGCCTTCGCGGCCGGGTGTGATGGGGAGGGGCGCGGCGTAGAGGCCGGTGCGGAAGTAGGTGTCGATGTAGTTTATGCCTGCGTATTCGTTGCGGACGAGGACTTGGTTCTCGCCGAGGGGGGGAAGGGGCAGGTCGGTGTGGTGGGTTAGGACTTCTGTGCCGCCTGTGCGGGGGATTTGGATTCCCGTCATTGTTTGGGGGAGGGAGGAGGAGGAGGCCATTGTGAAGTGCGGGGCTGGGGAGAGGGATGTGCGATGGGATGGTGATGGGGTGAAGGGGCGGGTATGGTGGTGAGGATGTTTGAAGGGTTGCGAGGGGAGGATTTGGGTGGACTTGGTGATTGTGGTGAGGGCGGATGTTAGGTTGGAGCTTCTGGTGAGGATGCGGATGGATGTGGAGGGTCGCGAGAGGAGGAATTGGGACATTTGCGATGGGAAAGGCGGTTAAGGGTCTCAGTCTCTTTTCTTATTTGGTCTGAACCTATGGGACGATGGAGGGGCGTTATTGGAATAGCTTCCGATTGCGCTTGAGGTCACAATTGTGGTTTAGTCAGCGTTCCGATGAGGTGAGGGGCTTTCTTCTCAAAAGACGTGATTGGAAATGCTTCAGCCATTCGCGCGCGGGAGCTATGAGCTCTGAGAGAGACGATGGCGGGGTTGCTTCTCGTTCTCAGATCGGCTATGAGGGGCGGGCGGGGGACCCGGAGGCGGGGCTGCCCCTTTTCGGGTGACGGGTGAGAGGAGGGGTCGGCTTGCCGATGGGAGCCGTCATTGTGAGGTGGGTGAGTTCTTTGCCGGTCTTGGGGTGTGAGTGAGATTAGGAGTGAGAGTGAGTATGAGTATGAGATTCAAAGCATTGGAGGGTAAGAATGAGGCTGAGAGATGGTATGGCTTCACACTACATGCTCACTCATCTCATTGCTCCACTTTCATGGTGACGCATTCAAGAACCGAGCAATGTGATGACGATGATCACTATTATTGTCATCTCGAAAGATCTAGTCTTGATGTGCCTGATGGTTAATCGAGTTTGGGAAACATCACTACTTATGGCTTGAGAGAGTGAGACAGTTTACTCGCTTCAAAGTGAAAGCTCCCTAGCTGGCATTGAGTGGGAAACAGCAAAGGCAACCACTTAAGCGCTGTGCTCTTAGTTGGTTATTTGATGGAGAAGGGAAATTGGAGGGCAGTGTGATTATTTTGAGCATAAGACTTGCCATAATACTGAGGTAGGTGACAAAACATGTTGCTGATCAACGTAAAACTGACATTCTGAGTGTAGTTTTGAAAATCATACACACGTTAAAAGATTCAATATCTTGAATAAAGATGACTAGTTAGTGGTAAAGGTATACGTAGATTTGCAAGATAGGTATCGAGCGGCGAATGTTTTACTCACCCACTTTACACCGTAGCGGTGCTCGGGCGCTTCCACCCACGGCATGGCATTGCAAACCTTGAAAGTCTGATGATGGATTGAGCGTCACCTCAACACCCTTGGCATGAACCGCTGGTCGTAGCAGCGGGGCGGGCAGCGAAGCTGCTAGAGCAGAGATGACAGGCGCCCGGATCTGGACGATACGCCGCCACTGGGCCGGTAATCGCGGCATTATCTATCGTTGTTCATTCATGGTCGTTGGGTTGATGCGGTCCAACATGGGCTTGCTAGTGCGGATACATCATGGGGAAGAAACGGGTTGCTGGATCAGTTAGTCGTCAAGCATCAATCGGTGAACCAGCATGTTCCCTCCCAAAGTCGGGGAATCTGTGAAGCTAGTCAGTTGCCAAGACTCGGATTGAGTGCGGACAGCAATGCGTCGGGGCACCCGGATGATCGCCAATCGGTTCTGCCTGGGGTTCATATTTCTTCCCGCAGTGACATTGTAGATGTGACCCATTTCAGACTCGTCAGTCCCTTTCTTAATGATCTCATCCATTCTATAGTGCCGGTCTTGATCACTTGGCTTCTTCTTAGCAGCATGGCACGCATGGCTATATCGAAAGCTGTTAACACATCTGTCCCAACGTGTGGGTTACATTTCCTTCTCCCCAATCGATCTTCAGACATGTCAAAAAAGGGAACATCATGGACGCAATCGATGGCGTCTCCAATGAGGCTCAGCCCGCCTTGGCTTCTGTGTGTACCTTGGTCTAACTGCTAAGGTACGGCAGCGTAGTAGCGTGCATTCGTTTCTACGGTGGAATGTTTCGGTAAGACGAATGAGCTTGCGGGAGTGTACCCCCTCAGCCATGCACGCCACGTAAGAAGGGTGGCAGAAGAACCTTCTTAGCCTTCTCTTGCGCGTGGGTTGATGCGTCCGTCGGGCGCCACACAGCAGAGGCAGTCGAGTGAAGCCAAAGCGGGAACGCACAGCGAGCGGCCGGAACGGTAAGGCAGTTTGCAAGGTAATTTACGGATACGTACATTTCCTATCCGTTCAGAATGCTTCGTGCCTCTTTTTCTGATGGACTGACTGGTAGCCATACACACGTTCTAGGGTCAGGGATTGTCGCGGCGCCTGTGTTCTCCCTTCTCGTCCTTCAAACAATCGGGGTTCATCTTGCCCCAGAATCTTGGAGAGTTTAGGGTGAATTTTCAAGACCACCTGTATGGATGGATACCTACTCGGGCCAAACGAAGAGCCGCTTGGTGACCATGCATTCCTTGGCTCTGGAGTCTTTCTGCCCTCGGCCCCGAGAGATGTTTGGCAGAAGCACATGCTACCCTTCCACTAGGTACGGAGACTATCGCCCATTGAGTTGCGGTCTGCATAGGTGTTCAAGTGAAGAAAGATGAAGCTTGGTTGGTGTTCAACGTGTGAGGGATTATATTCTCTCTGGGCAAATCTTGGCCCAGGACTCGCTGTTCAAGTTGAGGTTTAAAAGACATTCGGGTACTCCAACGGACCCTTCGGTCCCCTTCGTAGCTCGACTCCTTCATCTTCTCCACTTCTGTGCCGTCTCCTCCGCCTTTTCCTGCTTCTCTAACCTCCCCACTCCATACGCCTCCACGCTTCGTACGGGGACCTTCAGCGGCCCAGGGATCGTCGACGTGTCCGCGTATGCCCTGCCACGTTCGCGTCGACTGCTCACCGAGCCCATTTATCCTCACCACTCACACGCGCCGGCGCAGGCGGCAGCTGTTCCCCCCGGGTCACTCAGCAAGCTTAAACGAGGAATGGCCGGTCTCTCGAGGCTTGTTTGCATAACTGGCTTTGGGCGGATGACTATTCATACTTGGACTTGTTCTGCCGTTTATCCTGTACCTATGCCCTGCTGTCGAATCTCCATTTTCTTCATTGACTTATTTGCCTCTAATTGTCAATCATCTCCACTCTCAGGGGGGGGGATGTCCCCAGCTATCCAAGCTTCAGTCGACTGCGATATCCCCTTTAATCATTCAGCCCGGAGCTTCATCACGACGATATCCAAGGACAAGGCCGACGGTATCATTCATCAACCTGATCGACGTCACTGTCCCTTGGTGTAGCTTCTTCAAGGGGCCTGCCGTCGTCCGACCTCATAAAGCCCCAGCCACACCCTTTCCTTCGACCTGTCCGCTAACCGCCTAGCCTACGGATACGCTTGTCACGCTTGTCTCCCGAGCCCCCAGTCTCGCAAGGTCCCGGCCACCCTAACCGTTTTTCTATTGTGACACTCGTATCTGAAAAAGACTAGGGGACCAAAAGTGGCCAAAGTCCTCCAAGTCTCCGAGAGAAAAAGAGAAAAGGACGAACAGACGAAAAACCTGAACTCCACCCTGCTGAAACGCGACGCATTGTCGCCACAAGGCTTAGGACCTCGGGATACCTCAACTCAACTCAACCCGCGACCCCTGTCCTCTGCCCGTTGCAGCTTCGATCTTTCTTCGCCGACGTCTTTCGTGGTGCTTTTCGCCTCGAGTTTCTGTCCGTAGACTCACAAGGTCACCACACCCGCGTCTTCGACAACCTCTGCAGAAGGACACGGGCTTTGGATAGTGTTACTGCTTGCTGCTGCGGCTGGCCGTTAGGGAACTGTGCGCTCACCCTCACCTCAGCTTGCATCATTCTACCTTTCTCTCCCTCACTCTCCTTTGAGTTCAGTTCCGCGGTCAACCCATGTGTCTGCCATCTCCCGTCTGGCCTTTTCCTGAGCGGGTTGAGAGTGTAGCTGATACGATACGAGTCGTTCTGGGCCGAACATCCGCGAACCCCAGACAGAAGCCCTTCCCAGGCCCCCAAACGAACGATCCGTCCATTCATCCAACGTCTCTTCTTCCACCACCACCACCACCACCAATCGCCATTACCACCACACTTTGTATCTTTTTTATGTCAGCCTACCATCGATCCTGGATGCTTGTTCTCACCTCCTCCGTTCATGCTATTCCGCCTACCGCTGCTACCGGGCCCTAGGCCGTCTTTTCCGCCGTCCCTCTGCCGTTGAGCGTGCAACATCATCTTGGGACGAAAACGAAACTTTGCGCCGCACGTCTCCTCTCTCTCTCTCTTTCCTCTCAGCTCACCTCACGTAGCACTCCGCCTCACTCAACCTCATTCTCACGGGAGCTACTCGCTCATAGCTGTTTCTCATCCCTTCCTCTTCCTTTCCTCCCCCTCCCCCTTTTCCCTCGCATCATACGGCCAGCTCACCGCCGTATAACAAATCGCCAAACTGTCTCCATTCCTATCTTCTCCCCCCGGCTCACCCCCGATGCCGACTCCGCCGACAGAAGATGACCGCCAGCGGCGGATCATCCAGTTTACGGAGGAATGGGGTCTCGAGCCCCCGCCGTCGCCGTCGCCGACGCCCCTGACGCGGCCTTCCAGCCCCCCCAGCTTCCGGACCCCGGAGGACAACTTCAAGGCGGAGGAGCTGCTCAAGCGCAAGCAAATGTCACACGGCCGCACAGAGTCCACCACCAACCTGCGGCGCGCCTTCACGGGGAAGAAGAAGTCGTGGGACTACAAGCTCGTCTTTGACACCCTCGACAAGCATGTCGCCGACCGCGGATCGCCCGGTGTGGCGGAGGCTCTCATCACACTGCTCGTCTCATCCGGTGGAGATGTCAACATGGCGCAAAAGGCAAAGACGAGTATCCTGCCTCGCCGGAAAAGTCTCGACAGCTTTGGTGAGCGGAGTAAGTTGTTACAGCATGCCGTTCACAATGGCCAGATCGACATGATTCAGGTCCTATTACCACACGCCGACACATTTGCCCTGGACGCCTCATTACCGGTAGCCATGCAGTCTGAAAATGTAGAGGTCGTCGAGCTACTTCTTCGGTACGGCGCCGGTGTGGCGCATAGCCCTGAGGCTCAGGAATCGTTCCGCCAGGCGTGCGCGGCGGGTGGACAGGCGGATTTGGTGGGAATCGTTCTCCGATCGGAAAGCCGGCCACCAACCTCATGGCTCTCACAGTGCATGGTGGACGCGACCAAGGCAGGGTGTCTGGAAACGGTGCTTCAACTGAGTCGATCCAATGTTGACGGCGACTACAACCAGGCGGAGGCGCTCAAAGTAGCAATTAGCCAGGGGCGTCACGACATTGCTCTTGCGATTCTGATGGGAAACCACCCGCCGAAACGTCCGGGACTGGATGAGGCTTTCTCAAATCTGTTGGACCACCCTTCCATGAACCCAAGAGACAAGCTTGCCGTTGCTGAGTTGTTACTGTGCGCTGGCACAGACGGCGATGCACCCGCCATGGCACTCATTCACGCTGCAGCAGCAGAATTCCAAGACATGGTCAGTCTTTTGGTCAAGTACGGGGTCTCAATAGAGTACCAGGACGCAATGGCTATCCGGAAAGCCATTCAGAATGGACGGGTAGACGTCGCGCACATCATCCTCACCGGCACCGCAGAACTCAGCGCAACACATGCCTCGGAGTGCGTCGAGCTAATACCGAAAAATATGGGTGTAGAGAGTCGTCGGTTACTTTTAGATCTTCTACTACGGAGAGGGGCAAACGGGACTGCGCTACACGACATGCTCATCGAGGCGGCGGAGGCTGGCGACGTTGACTCGGCAAAGCTGCTTCTCACAGCAGTCTTCCCGGGAGGCCGACCCATTGCCGAACATGACGTGAAGAAAGGACCGAGATCAATGGTGTATGACCGCCACCAGACGGCATCTGTCGACCACAAGGGCGGCCTGGCTCTACAGATCGCGGTCATGAGGAGTGATGCGGCGATGGCGAAGGAGCTTCTCATGAGCAAGCCATCCAGCGAAACGTTGGCTCAGATCTTCCCTCTCACCAAGACATTATCACGGAAAAACAGGTATCGCATGGTGGAATGCTTTCTCACGAGCGGTCTTGCTGGGCCCATTGTTCACGACGCGTTACAAGAAGCCATCGACGAGGAGCCACCACACCGCGACGAGGACCTGATCGGACTCTTCCTCAAGTACAATACCGACATCAACACGAACGAGGGTTCGGCACTAGTGGCTGCTGTGTCTCAAAAGGACGTGAGGTTACTCAATGCCCTGCTCAAAAAGAACGTGACACCACATACTGCTGCCGGTGTATTGCCCAGGATCATTGCGACCCAGGACCCCAAGGCGAGGTTGGATATGGCAACGTTGTTGTTGACGTCAGTGCCGGACTTGGACCCCGTCAAGGTCTCCCAGGCGATGCTCAACGCGTTGAACTACCGGCCAGCTGATCTG